GTAAGTTATACGAACTCCAAGATTGGTTACATAACCTTTACGGTATTCCTAACCACGTGCAGGTTGAAAATTTTCCATCGCGTCTAACGGACGAAGAGGGAGAAAAGAAGGAGAACGATAACGGCTTTCGGAGCACTGGAACGAGGTGGAACTGGAACGTGGAACAGCAAAGCCGCTACGCGAAGAGCAAACGAGAACAAGAATACAAAAGGAGACAACTCAACACGGAGAGAATAACCTAACAAAAGAGGAATAAAAACAAGATAAACGAAGTTAAACAAACCCGAATCTAGTGAAACCCCATGGTTAAATAGAAATAATGTGAAAATTAAGGAAGTGCTGAAAAGAGAGAAATCAAAAATAGTTATAAATTTGTCAAAAGGTGAAACTCCTAAGAAAATACCGAAATCTCGGCTGTGCGCGATTTAAAACAAAGAAATGAAGTAAAGCCAAAATAAAATCAATTAAATCTAAAGTTTTGCGAATGCGAAATAACGAAGGAAGAGAAACATGAAGTTTGAGCCCAGGCCGACAGGTCAAAAGAAAGAAATTTAAAGTGAAGAGAAGAGAATTTGCACTGAAAGAATTATAATTTTTTTTGTTTTGTTCTTCCTACCCTTCCAGGGAAGTTTCTCTTTATAATTTTATATCTAATATCTAATTAACGAAAACGACGGAGTGAATTTAATGTAATTTTACAAGAGCGCTCAATAATCTGGTTTATTATTTCTGCCGACAAATCTATGGGTAATTGTCCCACTCCCTCCACAGCCAACCTACGCCAAGTGGTCGACCTCTTCGCCAAGGAGAATGCTGGGTAAGTCGTTATAAGAGATAATGTGACAGAAATTTACCATATTATTTGAGCTCAATTCCTCTATGGCCTTTGAACCCATAAGAGAAATCAAATGAAATAATATCTATGTTAAATAATGCAAGGGTATCACAAACCCAAGGCCAGCCGTTAATGCTTTCTTTTCTTTCGGGTTTCTTGCGCCCAGTCGAACCCAGCAGGGTCACCCTGATGTAAATATTAGACAGGTTAATTGTATTTTCTCGTTTTTTTCCTAAAGTATAAGTTGGTCTATTCGTCGCTGAATAAAACCAAAACCATTGAATGTCCTTTAGACACGCTTGTCAGGCTAATGTAAGGAATCCACACTGTATTTCAGCTTTCGCACATCCGTAATCTTAGCGTTAATAACCATGTATAAAAATCTTTCTAGCGGCTCAAATATAACGAACATGAACGCTTAAATTTTGAACAACTAACTCCACAAGTGATTCCTCGGGCGTAGATGGACAAAGGGGTCACCAGAGCCATGCTCTAGGGGGTGATCAAGGTAGGGTGGGCATTTAACAACCACAACAACATCTGTGGCTTCGTTTCTACCTAATTTCTTTCTCGCCTTGCTTTCTTCGTAAGCACGCTCAATTCTGGACTTATAAATAATAATGAGTAGCAAGTGTACGATCCGTCCACGAAAGACCTTCACCCCCAACGCCGACGAGAGATAGCCGGAATCTAAAGCGTGCCCCGCAAGGACGGATCGGTAGCCTCAACCTCACACAACTAACTGTTACACGCTACAGAGATAATTAATTATTATTAATAAGAAAAAGTGGCGCCCAACGTGGGGCCTCTGCTATGCAAACTATACAATAAAAACCAACGGAGCTATAATTTGTTTCCAATTAATTTCCCATTAATTGGACGTCCGATTTTTAAATTTATTTCGAAATTCAGAAGTATTTAAAAAATAAAATCCCTAAGAGTAAGTGGTAATATTTCAAAAAACACCGAAGCTAGGACTTTTTTGTTTTTTTTTCCGATCCTTCCTATGGGAGCTATAAGATATACGGCCCTGTTCTAGTTTTCACTTCCGAAAGATTCACACGGATTCGAATTTCCAAGACCTGTTCCAAGACTTTCGAAAGAACTGTACGAAATCGAATTTCCCTCAGTTGTTACTCTGTTAACTTACGAAAAATTCACAAGGAAACTTTCCGCCAAGCATATGACAGGCGGATTTAAATTCGGCAGTATAAAAATGAATTATTTAAATAAACTCCGCGATAGCTTTATAGTCAATAATATTTTTATGCAGAGTTCCTAATTGCATCATCGGAATCGAAATTAGTTGCATATATGACTTATTAATACTTATTTTGTGGTTGAACCTTAAAACCCGGTAAATTCTAGCCTTAAAAATTAATGCAAATCCGCCGCCCTTGTTCTAAATTCCGATCAGATTTGGTTATTTTGCTTATTTCGCCATGTCAACATGGCTTCACCAGGTGCCGATCTACTACCACCAATTTGCTTGAGTTTACCTCATTAGTAAACCGTGGCTTTCTCCATAAGCAACAAACTGATGTTATTTATACGGATTTTTCCAAAGCATTTGACTCGGTAAACCACTGTGTACTTATAAAAAAACTTAATCTTATGGGGTTCCCTCCAAAGTTGTTAGCGTGGTTACTTTCATACCTCACAGACCGCTGTCAGAGGGTGAAATATAATGATATAACGTCCAAAACTATAAATGTTTTCTCTGGTGTACCTCAAGGAAGTCATTTGGGACCCTTATTATTTGGCTTGTTGATTAACGACTTACCTCAAGTTATTAAGTCCGCAACTGTTTTAATGTTTGCTGACGACGTTAAACTGTGTGTGTCTATGTGATTACCGGATTCTTGTTCTCGTCTTCAATTAGATCTTGACTATTTACAGACTTGGTGCAAACTCAATAATTTATATCTATAATCTAATTGCGCTGGCGCAGCCAGCGGTTTCAAGCGACAACGAACGACTGACTCCCACGAGCAGTGCGAACAATTACAAGAGTTCCGAAGTTACAAGCTTATTAGTATAAGAGTAACCGACTTAAATGCGAATATTAACATTTGTTTTGTTTACAATTCAGATAATTCTTTTCATTTTTAAATTCATATTTTTCTATTTTTAATAATTACAAAATAAGGCTACTGATCCAACATTCCGACCCCGTTAAAGGCCTCCGGCGCTTTAACTTCCTCGTTTGTGCTGCTTATTGGCAGCAACGCCAGTTTGTGGATTGAGCGCTTGATGAGGCCTCCAAACGTCTGAATTTCGGCGACACGAACTCTGCCGTACTCGCCGAATACTGTTGCCACCACGCGCCCTGTAAGCCACCGTTGCGGCGGCAGATTGTCCTCGTGGACGAGAACAAGGCACCCAATCTTTAGATCGGGGCCCTCGATGCTCCATTTGTTTCGCTGCTGCAGGCTGGCCAGGTAATCCTTGGACCAGCTTGGTCAAAACTGCTGCTTGAGCGCAGACAGCATTCGCCACCGCTTCAAATATCCGAAGCTTGCCTTGCTGCAGATTTCGTTTGTTTCGGATTCTGGCGGCAGCTTAAGAAGAGGCTGACCGATGAGCAAATGTCCTGGTGTGAGAGCTTCTCCATCGTTGGGGTCGTTGCCAGGCGACGCAATCGGACGAGAATTGAGCAGCGCTTTTACCTCCACTAGGTGGGTGCTCAACTCGTCTGCTGTGAGCTTGGCGTTGCCGAACCCTCGCAGCTGGCTTGACGGCTGCCTCCCATAGCCCGCCGAAGTGTGGTGACCTCGGTGGGATGAACGACCACTCGACGCCCCCCTGAGCCGCGTACATCGTCAGCTGATCCTTGTTCCGGTGAAACGCTACGTGCAGCTCTTCGAGAACCTTGCTCGCTCCCACGAAGTTGGTGGCGTTGTCGCTGTAGACCTTCTCCGGAAGACCTCTCCGTCCGACGAACCTTTTGAATACAGATAAGAAGCTGTCAGTAGATAAATCAACAACGAGCTCAAGATGAACAGCCTTTGACGAAAAACAAACAAACACAGCCACATAAGTCTTTATTGGGGGTTTTCCACGGAGCTTCAACGAGACATAGAATGGACCGCAGAAGTCTACCCCACAAATCAAAAAGGGTCGAGCTTTCCTAACCCAATCGGCGGGCAAATCGCCCATTATCTGACCAAGTAGCTTGGGCTTATAACGGAAACAGTGGACGTAGCTACGGACAATCCTTGTACACGCCTCTCGCGCGTTGATAAGCCAAATCTGCTGCCTCAAGATGGATACCATCACTTTGGCACCTGCATGATAATGAGTCTGATGCAAATTGCGAAGAAAGAGGGTAACAAATTGTGACTTTTGAGACAGCAATAATTTGGCATCATAACGAATAGGCGCATTACTCAACCTACCTCCAACACGAATTAATCGAAAGGTCATACCATCAAGCTCCATTGTGTGTATGAAAGGATTTAGACGTTGAAGATGTGGGGCCAAACATTCTGATTTCTCTAACTTAATGCATTCTGAACCAAACTCAAGGTTCTGAAGTACTTGGACCAGCCTAACGAACGATATTTTTAGTTCTTGTGCCGAAATATTCACGTCTCGACGCCGCTTTTTCCCTTGAATGAACCGATTTACGTATGCCATGATCCGAAGTAGTTTATTGTACGACGAGCATCTTCCAATAAGATCAGTAAACACGTTAGGTTGGCTTTTTGTTACGGAACACACTGCCACGCTTTTCTTGTTCTCGGACAGCTGTAAATCAGGTGAAACTTCAATCTGATAAAGACGAGGCCACTCGTCTTGACTTCTGAGCAAGAATTCTGGTCCATTTTCCCACAGACTTCAAACTTCAAACCATCTATGTCTGTTCCACGTGACACCAAATCGGCCGGATTCTCTTCAGTAGGCACATGACGTCAGACTACATTTTCTGAAAGCTCTTGGATCTCAGACACTCTGTTTGCAGCAAACGTTGCTAATGTGGATGGATCCCTTTTCAACCAATATAACGTGACTTGAGAGTCCGACCAGAAATTTATGCATTCCAACTTAAAGTTGTTAAGCAAGGGAGCTACTTGAGCCCATAGCTTAGCGAGAAGATGCGCTGCACACAACTCGAGCCTTGGAATTGACTTTGTTTTAAGGGGAGACACTCGAGACTTGGCGGTTAGCAGTCTCGATAGACCAGTTGTCCCAACCATGGTACGGATATATATTCAACAGCCGTAGGCCTCACTCGCATCTGCAAAGCCGTGGATATGGACAGTTTCATAAGCAGACAGATATATCGAGGTATGGAGATCTTGTCTAGTTCTAGAAAATTCTGCTTGAACCTATTCCAGCTGGTATGCAATCTCATGGGAACTGACTCGTCCCAATCCAATTTTTGTCGCCACAGTTCCTGAAGCAAGATCTTCGCTCTAGTTATCAACGGACACAATAGGCCCAAGGGATCAAACAACCGAGCTATGACGGACAAAATGTTGCGTTTTGTTGCTGGCAACGAATCAAACGAATCCTCCAAGCTATAATGAAAAACGTCATTCTGAGGATTCCATCTCATACCAAGTGTTTTTATGGAAGCGGAAGGGTCAACTTTAAGAGATTTGTCTGGCCCTCTATTATCCAGCAGACTAGGATGATTTGTGGCCCATTTGGCCAGATCAAAGCCTTCGAATTTCAAGACCTCAGTTACTTCTCTACGAATGGTTTCCAACTCTTCTAAACTGCTGGCTCCTGTGAGCATATCGTCAACATAGAAGTCGCTTGAAATCACCTCTGAAGCAATAGGATGTGATTCAGCATAAATCTTTGATAGCTCAAAGAGACAACGGATGGCCAAAAACGGAGCTGAGGCTGTCCCATACGTAACAGTGTTGAGACGATAGGTTTGGAGAGCTTGTGTCGATTTCTCCCTCCACAAGATAAGTTGAAAGTCCCGATTTTCTGCGGCAATGTTAACTTGCCTATATATCTTTGAGATATCAGCCGTTAAGGCATACTTGTTCAATCGAAATCTTGCTAGAATAGCGTAAAGCTCCCTCTGAATAGTTGCACCCACCATTAAAGTCTCATTTAGTGAGACCGAGGTTGACGTCTTACTCGATGCGTCGAATACAACTCGAAACTTTGTGGAGCTACTTTCAGGTCTCAGGACACATTGATGCGGTATATAGTAGTGGTGTCCTGGAGGAGGGGTTGGTAGTAATGACATATGTCCAAGAGCAAGGTACTCTTTCATGAAGTCTTGATACATGTCATGTAACTCGGCTCCAACGCAAAAAATCTGCGCTTTGCCGTTGCGATGGATAAGCCAAGAACGCTTGGATCTGTTTTAAATGGCAGTTTCACTTCAAAACGACCTGACGATAGCCTGCGTACGGTTTGATTGAAGTTTTGTTCGCACGCAAATTGTTCAGCTGTATAGGCAGCCTTCGATCTCTCAGCGACTTGTTCTAAGTCCCAAAATCGCTCGACCAGAGAGTCGAGAGAACCAATATTTTCTTTGACCGTGACGCTACACACCTGAGCTCTATTCGATGCATGCTGAGTATATTTACCCGAAACAATCCATTCCAATAAAGTCTTCTGAATTAACGGATGTTGGGAACCTAGCTTTATTTGGCCTACACTCAATAGTTCGAAAAAGGATTCTGCTCCAATTAGTAAGTCCACTTTTGCGGGCTTGTAGAATGTAGGGTCTGCCAGCTTAATGCTTGCTGGAATACTCCATTGCGCAAAGTTGACTTCATGGTCGGGTTGATATGTGAAATCGATCTTATCACCCAGAAATCGGTATCAAAAGTGTGAGAATTAACGCGAGAATGAATAGACATTTGGACTTTGTGTCGTACTACCGAATCATTCTTCCCAACCATGGTAATATTTAAGCACGAATCTTCTCTCCTTAACCGTAAACGCTGTGCTAAATCCTCGGCCATGAAGTTTATTTGCGAACCAGAATCTAACAAAGCTCGTGCTAATTGGAACTGTCCGAATCTATCCCGTACCTTTACTACTTTACTACTTTACTGCAGTAGCAAGAATAACGTGATCACTACTAGCAACATGACTTGAATACGCTTGATTAGGATGGTCTGAAGCTACTGACGTTGTACGTGATGCCACTTGAGGCGTTGACGCCGAACTAGCTGGATGGTGTTCTAACCCGTAAGAAGAGTATGATGGGGTTTGGAGCAAACTCCACATTTTGCAGCTTTACATTTCTTTACTGAGTGTCCTTCATTTAGACAATTAATGCACAAACGATTGTGTTTGGCAAAATCGAAACGCTGAGTAACTGGAAGGGCACTGAAAGCTTGACACTTGCCCAAAGTATGATTCGTTGCTGAGCAATATCGACATTTTGACTCAGTCCGGCGATCTTTTTTTGTGCATGAAAAAGACGACTTTGAATACCCTTTATTAGAACCTTGGGTAGGCTTTTCCTTACTTTTGGTTGATTCCTCAGCAGCTAAATACTGATACCGCCGATTTAACTGAATCGCACAATCGGACCATGTCGGTAAATTATTATAATCGAGCTGTTCTTCAAAACGAGATTTTGTTGCATTATCTACCTTGGACATTGCTATATGAATAAATATTGCATTATTGATCTCCTTTTCACTGCTCAATGACTGCAATGATGCATAAAGAGCCGACATCTCATCGATAAGAGACCTCAAGCCCGAAGCAGAGGGTTTTACTGCATGGGGAATGTCAAACAGTTGCGAAATTGTATCGAAAAATATCAAACATTTATTGTCATAAACTAACGCCTTTTCGTAATTACTGTCCGAAATTTAAAATGCCTTCACAGTTCCCAACGCATCATCAGTGAGACACGAACGCAAATGGTTGAATTTTTCAACGTTTGTTAGAGATGAATCATTATGGACCAAACTCTCAAACAGATTTATAAAGTTTTTAAACTCAGCATGCTTTCCACTAAACTTGGGAAGGCTCATTTTAGGTAACTGGGACAAATGACGTTGAACACTGCTATCCCCTTGAATAAGTTTCTGTGAATCGTTTTCTTTTATTGCGGACCGATATGAAGCCTTTGTAATAATACACATATCCTCAACCGACGCTCTTAAATCATTACTTGGGTAAAGAACATCGATTTCTGCCTGGATATCCTTAAATTTTTGCAATAAGTTTCAAGCAGCTGCATTCGGTATTCAATTTTAAATTTATCGAAAGAAATAGTTTTTTTATCGAAAGCCGTTTTCATTCGCCTAATGTCACTCATAACCCTTTCGTGTTTTTGCATTGTCGACAGCATTTTTTTTGTTGCTTTGGAATTGACTTCCTTTACAGCAAATTCCTCCTCTTTATCACTCATTTTGACAATTATTCGAATTTATTTCAACTCAATACAAATATGAATGTCTGATGCAAGGGTTAAATTAATCTCTTTCGTAATATTGATGCCGATGTAATTAATTTTAAACGGTTACCCAAATATTAAAAGAAGCCGAAAATATTTTATTTGGGTTATGTAAAGGGTTAATAAATTCAATTATGTTATATGTCTGCAGGTGTTATACCAACACGCAGCGCCAACATGTAATAATAATTTAATTTTCTTCGACAAATAAATGTGTCAATTATTTTTTGTGGACATACATATGTAGGGGTGAATATATGTTCGAAGCGCTAAAGTTCACTGCCCCTTTTTCGCCGGTGCCTACAAAATGTTATGTACTGTTTGAGAGGCACTGCAACAGTAAGTATTGCTATAAAATAACTGCTCTGTAACTGGGTACTGTACTGCACATAGCCGCTTCAGTTATAGCTGTACTGTTTGCACTGCCAAAAAATATGCCATGGCTTATGCAGCATACCAAATTTTCCAGAACTTCACAAACATTTTTCACACGCAATATTTTTGTCAAAGGCAGTTCACTTTTATTTATTTGGTTTAGATGTGTTATTTTGTAAATTGGTTTTCCAATTTACAGAGTGCCAAAAATATAAAACAGTTGCTGGAGTGGGCAACGTTTTTTGCAAAGTACTTTCACAAAGGGTGGATTGCTCGATAATTTAATTGTTGGCACTTAATACCTTATTACTTGGCATGATTACCAAAACTTTCCTCGATGAGTCGACTCCAACTGCTGCGGCGAATCCCGCCAGCTAGGTAATGTTCCCAAATGGAAAAATTGAATACGTGGCGAAACGACGAAAATGCACTTTATATGATCAATTTTCCGACGCGAATTTCCACGAAAATGCTATAGGCGTAGTCCCTGTTCGGGCGCCATGAAAATCCGTGAGATTTTTCACGGAAAAGAATATTTTACAAATGCGACTACGTTAAGCAACCTAGCTGGGGATTTTCCACTCGAACGAAAAACAGAGCAGCAGTCCAATTTTAATCCATTTATTGCGCTCGCGCAGCCAGCGGTTTCAAGCGATAACGAACGACTGACTCCAACGAGCAGTGCGAACAATTACAAGAGTTCCGAAGTTACAAGCTTATCAGTATAAGAGTAAGCGACTCAGCTATGTGGTGATCCCTAACAAATAAGGGAAATTTAGTAGTGTTAACGGGAAATCCGATAATGTTAACAAATTCACTTCCGAGTGAAAACTGGAACAGGCCGGATAGTTGTCCGATTCGTTCGTTTTCGACTTATATACTACCTGCAATAGAATGAAGACTTTTGGTAAAGTTTCAAGCCAATAGCTTCAGAACTGAGAGACTAGCTTGCGTAGAAACGGACGGACAGAAAGACGGACGAATGGACATGGCTAGATCGACTCGTCTAGTGATGCTGATCAAGAATATATATACTTTATGGGGTCGGAAACCTCTCCTTCACTGCGTTGCAAACTTCTGACTGAAATCATAATACCCTCAGCAAGGGTATAAAAATATTTTTCCTGCCTCCGCAACTGCAACACTGCTCACAGCTATTGTGGATACAAAAAAATCATAAATGGTTCAACACTTATAAAAAACTCCACGGAAATTACGTTTTTTTTTAGATTATTATGTTAATAAGTTTCGATTTTTTGACTATCGATACATGTCAGAAGCCACGTATCCTGTATCAAGAAAAGGTAGCGTACTATTTTTAAGCTACCTGATACCTGATCACTGATGCAAAATTCTTGCATCTTGATTAGTAATCTTGTGCGATCAGCAGAACTATCGTAAGAAATCCATCAATGATCAGGTACCATGTTGTTCTGCTGAACGCGCCCAATGATTTTTGATTTTTCAGTATTTAAATAAAACTAATTCCCTGAGTTTTATTATATCGATCAAAGTGATAAAAATTGTTTTAAAAATTTGGCATATTGATTTTTTGATGTGCATAAAGTTAGGTTTTAAAATACACGGGGGTGACACAAAAAGTAAGGGGGAAATGAGGTTTCTATCTGGATCTCTGGCAGTAGAATGCAGAACAAAATCCACTGGTTTTTCGACTTGCAGCATTATAGACTTTCCACACGTACTCAGTTATGGTTTTTCCCTACTTGCAATGTCTGCTTTTCCGCACCTTCTCAGTTTTGGTTTTCCACTCCTTGGAATATATGTTTTTCCAGACCCTCGCAGTTTTGGTTTTGCACTGCTTTGCAGTATCTGAATGCCTGAAGCATTACCGGTTTTTGCTTGGCCGAATGCAGTTCTTAGGTATCCATGTCTTGTCTGTCTTCTAAAAATATCAAAAATAATTAAGATTTGAATGTAAGACCACACACAAAAAAAAAACTTGGTAAATCAACTGTAATAATTGTCAAACAGGCCCCAACCAAAGATATTATAAACACTAAGATGTGTAACGAGGAGCAAGAAAATGTACGGAGGCAGCGTCATTTTTGTCACATGCGACTCACACGTATTCAGTCTATTTTTAGAATGCCGTTTCTTGAATTCTCACTCTCTCGCTCACTTGCTCTCTCGCTCTCAAAACTCCGCGCTGCAGAAAAGTCAAAATTCAATTTTTGTCTCATTTGTTGATTCTTGAATTATGTTGCCGAAAAGGAATCGTCCTAAAAGGCACATTGCGCACAACATTTCAAAAAGGGCTGTGGCGCATTGCGTTAGTTGGTGGCCCGCGAATAAAGCGATTGAGGTTCGAGTCCACTCTGAGGCGAAGTGGTTTTATTTTTATCTTCATTTTTGTTTTATTTTACTTTGTTTTTGTTTTTTTTTTAATTGTTTGCTTTGTTTTTCAATTTTTTTTTGTTTTTTTTTGTTTGTTTTTAATTTTTTTTGTATTTTTTTGATTGTTTTTA